TCATTGAACATTTTATGTTTAAGTATTTTCCTCCATCTTCATAGTTAACAAAACTGTGTAGTCAGAAAAGCAAAATGAAAATGTAAAAATAAATATATTTTGTATCTTTATCTTTCTTTTTTTTTTTCTTCATGCGTGAACCTCTCCGGTCTCTAAACCAATTCTATTTTTTATATCATGACAAGTTTGTGTGGCTGTTAAACATGTATTTCCCTTATATGTACATTTTGTTTATATTTATAAAAAGAGCTAGGTTTGTGAATCAACTTCTTTCTGTGACAGTGAAAATTATCCAATCTGTTATTTCTATGTTATTTTTTTTTCAATTGTTAACCTTCGGGAACAATAAATCTCAATATCAAAAAAAAAGAAAAAGCTAATAATGTGATCACTAATTGACAATACATCAAAAGAAGAAGAAAAAGAAATAGATAGACAAGAGCTAATAATCTGACTCATAATTGATAAGCTTGTAATAGTTTTATGCAAAGATGTTTAATTTAAATTTTACGTCATATAAGGCTTTTCCTTTCATTTGGTGTGTAAATAGACTTTCTTTGATAATTCTTCTTCGCCAGTTTGTTTCAAGAGTTAGAGTCTCACATTGTGTAAAATCAAATGTATGTTTTTCTTTATTAGTATGCTTAGCTACATTCGAGGACTCGGTTTATTTTCTGATGTCCGATTGATGTTCCCTCATTCTAGTTTCCTTTTCTCTACCGGTTTCTCCAATGTAACATTTTTCACAATTCAAGCATGGTGTCTTATATACTAATTTCTTTTTCTTTTTTGATTCATCTAGCCCTTTTTGGATGGAAAGAAATACACTTCTGATTGTAAAAGTTTTTCTGAAGCATACATTAATTTCTATAAGCGGTAGAAGTTTTTTACATATTCGTTTAATTCTATGAGCTAATATGGTTGATTCTCGACCATAATAGGAGAAAAGAAAGTAGACCTTTTTCTTTTTTGACGATTATTGCGTTTGTTGTTGTTTAGATATCATTCTTTTAGTGATTATTTCTCCTTCATGCATGCCCCTTTTAATTAAGTGTTGTGGATAACCATTCATTATTAAGGTTTCTTTCATTAATTTAAGTTCATTATTCTGTAATTCATCCGTTGAACAAATTAGAAGATTGGAATGACTAACGTTCGAATTAAACCTAATTTATATTCTCTGCGTTGATTACTTTCATATAGTAAGTACATATTGGTATTGGTAGGTTTTCTGTATACCGTGGTATTATATTTATATTATCTCGGCTTATTACTACGTCTAAGAAGGCCAACTTTTCGTTACATTCATGTTCAATTGTAAATTTTATATCAGAGTGCCACTTATTAATTCTTGTTAAAAAGTAATTAATATTTTGTTGTTTTTTAAAAATAGAGAATATATCATCTACATATCTAATCCATATTAATGGTTTATTTGTTGAGAATCTATTAATTTTATGCTCAAGATTTGATATGAATAAGTTAGCTAATATTGGACCTAAAGGTGATCCCATTGCTACTCCATCAGTTTGTATATATACTTTATCAGGAAATCTGAAGCGAATTCTTATAATTGTTTTAATTGTGATCGAGTAAAAGGTACGGAAGGTGGAGGAGGCCTTTTAAATAACATGTCTAGAGTAATTTCTATAGCTTCATGAACAAGAACATTTGTGTATAAATTATCGATTATTAATTATAAATTATTAATTGGCGACCGCCTATTTTCCCCCAAATTAGATCTTAAATCATAAAGACGTTGGTGCATGGAATCTGAAATGTTTAAATTTTGTGTATCGATTGATTTCAAACTTTCCGTTAATTCCATAGTCTGTTGAGAATAATTATCTAAGTCGCTCTTACATCTCTCTAATTTCACTTTCTCTTCATTCACAACTTTTTTATGTTGTTTGATCAAATCACAAGTTTCCCGTAACGTCCAAATAGCCATGTCAAAATTAAATAAATCTGTTAAAAAATTCCAATACGAAGCAAACTTATATGCGTATTGTACTGATTGATTAATGTTTTTCTGTTGCTGTTAAATCTGTCCTAATATTTCTTCTTTTATCTTTTATTTGTTATGCTAAACACTCTTTCAGCTTTTTTTCACAGTTGCAGCTTGTTGTGCACCGCTTATTCGATCAAGAAACTTAATACAAGTGTCTTTAATAGTTTTACCTGTTGTTTCATCAAAATTTTCTACTACTGAACTAAATGTATTTGTAGCTGATTTTGCACAATGGGCAAAAACCTTCATTGCTTTATTACAGTTTTTACATACGTCAACTGCGTCCTCAACGATTTTTTGCAATTCCGCTGGATTTGCATTTTTAACGTTTGCTTCTAAAATAGCTAAAATTTTCGAATGATTATTCATGTCAATAGCAAATCTAAATGCTTGTATAGTTCCCCTTACAGCCATATTATTTCCACTATTGGCTTCGCTGTGTCTTTAGACTGCTTGAAGTGTATCAGACATGAGCGGTACCTACAACAGGTAATATTTGGTCATTTTATATTTCAACTTCTGACTGACTGAGAAGTCGATCATTGCACGATAAAAACGACTGGCCATGCGTAATGACCTTCTCAAAAGGAAAGTAAAGAAGGTAGATAACTTGGTGGAAAGGGCTAATCTGGACCATAAGGCTGCTCCAAAGGATCAGAAGACTTTCTTTAATCACGCGTCGTCTCCAATTTGATTCCAAACAAAGTGTCTCTACAATATCAAAATCGAAGGAATGTTGATTTGTATGCGTATGTTGCGCAATAAGAGAGGTGGTTTTTACATTTCGAATATCATCCTTATGTTCTTTCGTTCTTGTTATCTTTTTACGATTCGTTTCACCATTGTACTGCTTGTCACAGTCTTTACATTTCACTCTGTAGACAAATTTCTTTTCTTTCCTTGTCTCATCAATTCCTTTCTGAATAGGTAAAAGGACGGATTTCAGAGTCAGAGATTTTCGATAGGCTAAATTGATTTTTGAATGCGGTAAAAGTTTTTGACTCAATCTACGAATTCTTTCACCTAGTTCCCTTGTTTCATTACCATAGTAAGACAGAACGAAAAAGACTTCTTTCTTTTGTAGTTGAGGCTGAGATTGAGGATTGAGACTATTATGATTCATTCTTTTGTAGATGAAATTTGCTTCCTTTAGCCCACTTCTTATACTATGCGTTGGATAACCGTTTTTCTTCAGTACAGAAATAAGATGTTCGCGTTCAGATTTTAAATGATTATCATTAGAACAGAGCCGAAGTGATCGTATACACAAGGACTTAATGAGACCTAGTTTATACTTCCTAGGCTGATTACTGTCGTAAAGCATGTACAAATTCGCCGTTGTAGGTTTTCTGTAAACTGTAGTAGAGTAAGTGTCATCTTCTCTAATAATAAGAAGATCAAGAAAAGGTAACTGATTATTATTTTCATACTCGACAGTAAATTTGATGTTTGGATGTCAATTGTTAATTCTTGCATGAAATTCGTTAATATTTTGTTCCTTATCGTCCACATAACGAAGCCAGATCTTCGGCTTATTCCTCGTGAATCGATTGATTTTTTTGTTCAAGTTTGGCAACAAAAATGTCAGCTAGAATGGGTGCTATAGGAGAGCCCATAGCAACACCATCCTATTGTATATAATTTTCGTTGTAAAAGCGAAATGGTATATTTAATGCAGCCAACTCCAATAATTTCTTGAACTGAGACCGATCAAAAGGGCAGTTGGCAGATATTTTTTCATTTTTTTTATAGAGAAGATTTAATGCTGTATCGATTGTCTCACTGACAGGAATATTTGTGTATAACGATTCAATGTCAAAACTAAGCATGATCTCATTCTTACTGGTTTTTAGAGAAACGATTTTCTTTTTTTTCAGAAAACAAATATTCCTGTCAGTGAGACAATTGATACAGCATTAGATCTTCTCTATAAAAAAACTAAAAAAATCGTCCTCTGAAGAAGGGGGAGGGCGGTGCTACTTGTGAGGCAGCTTCAACCACAATAAAGCTATAAACAGTATTGAAAGCATTATTTTCTGAAAGTACGCAGTCGATAGTACATAAATCCGGCAGAAATGGGAAATCAAAAAATTGTCAAAAAACGCCCTTTTACGGCAGCACAGGACAACCACCTTAACAATACCTACAAAAAAATAGAACTTCTCACTCAGCGTCAATGTAGTCCATTCCAGCCCATTCTACCATTCCAGAAATGCTTCTTCCCCCTTGGTAAACGTTCTTCTAATAAATTAAGTTTCTTAAAAAGAAAAATAGAGAACAGAAAATACACGTAGGAAAAAAGAGTGTAGTTGTTAAAAGAGAAGAACAACATGACGCTTCAACCCAAAAGATTGACTGTCACTTAAAACCAATCGAAAACTTTTGGAAAATCAAATTTTTTCTGTTACGTACATAATTTGAAATAAACAGATAGAATAGAATAGCTTGATTAGTTAACAAAATCTCTTATGAATTAAGTTGATGTTGTTATGGGAAAATGGAACGGTAAGTCATTCAGCTTTAGTCTGAGCAGATCGATTCTTCATAATTTATAGTTTCTATGTCTACATATTCTTTTCAAAACTGACTTTCTTTTCCCAAGAAACTGCGTACTACTACTGTGACGATGTGACTACTACAATCGTCGATGTCAAAATGATAATGTGAATATACGCGGTTATAAAATATCTAAAGGTAAGAATTTTACAACCATACAGGATACAGCGATTTTAGTTATGCATTTCACTTCGTGCTCTCATCTAATTACCAAAAAGCAAAAGTACTTTTCAAATTATATATCATTACTCTAGACACAACTCATTCACTACTTTTCTTTTCGTAGGTGCTATAATTCAACCTGATATCTACAGTATTCATTATGATCAAGAGTTATGGGGACCGGAAGATGTCTACACATTTGTACCTGAACGTCATTTAACGAAACGACATTCAATGGCATATATGCCATTTGGTGTTGGACCACGTAATTGTGTTGGTATGCGATTTGCATTCATGGAGATGAAAATGGTTTTAACCAAATTATTAAAAGACTACACAATCGTTAAATGTGATAAACTAGAGTCACATATTAAAATACAGGAAATTGCTCTTATTATTGCACTACAAGAAATTTGGATTAAATTACAAAAACGTGAACATTAAAAATTTTTCGAGACAATTTAGGGAGCTCCACCCCCACTCCCACAAAAATGTGCCCTCAACCTCTGTCAGTTTGAAGAAGACACCTGATTACATATATCCTTCAGTTTTTTCGATGAACTGATAACTCACAGAGTTATTAATTAATAAAGTTTACATTTTAATTAAACTTTCGATTTCGATGGTATTGTAAAATAATTCATTATATTTTATTGGAATGTCCGATCACCGTCGTGGTAGAGTTATTTTGTAGACAATCTTTGGTTGCATATAACATGCTTTAGAAAATTGAAAAAGTTTTCGAACAACATAGACTTTTTAAGTGAAACATTGTAAAGAGAGTGTTTTTTCTACTTTTAAGCATAAAAAGTAACTTTTTAAAACCCTGTCAGCGATTGCGCGATAACAAAGACTTTCCGAGAAAACTTCTCGCTGACGACGTTGTAGCTGATGTCATTCTGCATGGAGTAAGCGGAACCCTGAGTCACCCGTAATTCCTTACGATAGAATTACGTTCACGAAATAATAAAGAATTATGCGTGACTCAGGAAAATGGCTGCCATTCGAGAACCACAACAGATGGGGAGGTCGGCCTTGGGCAGAATTGTAGAGAGCACTTTGGACTGTCTAGCCACTATGTTACAATTAAAACTTATTGACTGTGACAATAATTGCTGGGGATTTCGGAAGCCCTTGTTGCAAGGATAAGCACCTTAAAATCTTGCCCCGGATTCTGACTATGCAAAGCATACCTCATCAGAACTGTTGCAACAAAAGTTATTCCCTATGAAATTCTACGTGGAATAAGCCGAACAGTGTTTTTTTCTAATGACAAAAACTTTAGAAAGTTATTAATTAGTAACTTTCAAAATTAAAAATGTTTTAATTTTCGTTTAACTTCTGTTCAAAATTTTTCCTTGAAATTCGGTTTCGCTTACTCCATGCAGAATGACATCAGCTACAACGTCGTCAGCGAAAAGTTTT